AGCTCCAGCCAGCCAGGCGCCCAGGTGAGGTGCTGAGGATGGGCAGGACTTGGGAATTTGGGGGGCTGGTGAGGAGGGGCTTTGAACAAGCAATATAGGGTAACGGGCTGAGCAAAGAAGTAAGAGGGACGGACTGAGCTCAAGGCCCTTTCTGAGGGACGGACTGAGCTCAAGGCCCTTTCTGACAACCCCAGGAAGACACCTAGAATCCTTGATCAAACCAACCTTGGGCAGGCTGGGAGCAGGGAGGCGCAGGCCATAGAGCTAGGACCAGGGACCAGGGCTCACCTGGGAGCAACACCCTAAATTTCTCAGGCCCTCAGGACCAGGGGACACTGTGAGAGAGTCCTCTAGGTAGGCAGATGGAAGGAGCAAGTATCCTCAAGGGGCTGCAGCAAAGGAGTCCACTGGAGCAGACAAGCACCCAGCCTGGCCCACCCCTCCCCAGCCAGGCCCCCTGCCCAAGGCCCCCCAGCCCTGAACTCCAGCCTTCTCCTTTTAGGCTGGGTGCTGGTTCCTAGGCTACTCCTGATGCCAGGCTGTCCAGCCCTTGGGAGAGAAGGCAAGGTCTGGGCCGTAATCCCTAAGTCGCAGGTCTGAAGGCCGGGTCCCTCGGAGTCATTCTCATTTCTCACCTGTGCAAACAGGGAACCTGAGGACTGGGTAAGGAGGAGGGCTGTCCGAGATCACACACATCCCGATCAGTGACGGCTGGCCCTGGGAGGTGGCCCTCGGGGGTGGTCACAGGTAAACTGGCATCATCATGACTCACATTCTCAAGGCCTCATTGGGAGGAAGGCCCTTCATCCTGCTTTCTCCTCCTAGATCCACAGTTCTTTTTTTTTTAAGATTTTATTTTTAAGTAATCTATCTACACTCAACATGGGACTTGAACCCACAACCCCGAGATCAAGAGTTGCCTGCTCCATCAACCGAGCGAGCCAGGTGCCCTAGGACCCACGATTCATATCTCTGCTGTACAGAAGAGCAAGGCTCTGAGAGGAGCCACCAGGGCTGTGCTGTCCCAGAAAAGTCTTCAGTAGGAAGCGGGACCTTGGTGACCCCTGCCTCTCTCTGGGTGTTCAATGTGTGGGTACACGTTGAGGGGTGGGGGCAGGTGAGTGGGAACTCAGACCCCCGTGGCCAGGGTTCCACCGTGGACCCACGCTTGTCCTGGCTAAGACCCATCCTTTGACGTGACATGGCGGCTGCCATTCAGGCCATGGACGTGGAGTCAGACAGGCTGGGACCTCTGTCCACACAGCGGGTCCTGCCTTCCACGAGCTGCCTCCCACACTGCTCGTTCTGCAGGTGTGGCTCACCCTCTCCTTGTCCACAGTGGTCCAGCGCCCCCCCACCCCGAGTGGCCAGCTCAGCCTCCTCACTGTCCCCTGTCCTGCACATTCCCCTTCAGGCTGTTCTCCACTTAGTAGCTAGGGGATCTTTCTAGTGACAGCCAGACCCTATCAGGCTTAGGCTTAAAGCTCGTTAGGGGCTCCCCGGTTCTCTGGACCACACCTGGTCCTCCCTGGCCCATCCAGCCCTGGAGAAGGGGCTGCAGCTTCTCCTTTGCCTGCAGCAGGGGTGGAAGGGCCCTGGGGCCAGAGGAGGTGCGGGTATGGAAGGGCTGATGGAGATCCTACAGATGCATAGAAGCCACAAGGTAGCTGACGCCCCTGGAGGTGTGTGATGGGGCAGCCCTGGGGAAAGGGGTTGGCTGCCTGAGCCAAGGGTGTTCCAGCAGACGCTGGTGTCCCACGTCGCCTGTGGAGGCTAATCCGACCCGGCCAGAGACGGTGGGGCTGAGGCCTCACCTTACTTCTTGAGAGTTGCTAATGACAGTCTTTAATGGCCGTGCCTGGGAAGGGATGACCTCACCCCGCCCGCGCCCTAATGAGAGGAGGCTGGAGTGAGAGGCAGACGGCTCCTCCATCACTATGGGACCTGCTTGGGCTTGTCCTGTCTGAGAAATGAGGGGGCCGTGTGTGTGTGTGTGTGTGTGTGTGTGTGTGTGTGTGTGCGCGCGCGCGCACGCACGTGCACACATGCATATGTCCCCGATCCTCTACAGGGCCAGATAGAGAAGGCTCCCCGCCCGACTGCGGAGGCCGGACCTGGGTGAAAAGACTCAGGGCAGCAGCGTGGGGAGGCCTAGCTTCTTCCCTGACTCACTCTATGACCCCATCTGAGCCTCGCTTTCCCTATCTGCATGGGGTTGGGGACAATTCTGAACCGTCTCCAGGCTCTCAGGTCTGCTGGGTATCAGGACTCAGATGGGACCAATCCCAGAAGAACTCTGGGAGGAGGTGAGAGGGCTGTGCTCAGGTGGGGTCCAGAACAAGCAGGGGGAATAGATCAAAGATCAGGACCCAGGCTCCCGGGGTGCCCAGGCTCCAGGGACACCTGGCTCCCACATCAGGCTTTCCAGCTCCTGGTAAGAGTTTGGTGTGGGTGCTGGTGTCCCGGCCACATCCAGACTGACGCGGAAGACAGCCCAATGTAGACCTGGTGTTTGGAGGCAGGCCTGAGTATGCCAGGCAGCGGTGGTGGTAGGGGAGGGGCAGGTCCCAGCACGGGTTCGCTGCACACCTCCACCCTGCCCCATTCAAGAGGGATGACTGTGTTTGCACCCTGGGGAGAGGCCCTGGGTAGGGGGGTGGGGCGGGCAGCCCCTCTCCCGAGGGCTGCCTGCCCCTCCCCCAAGCTCAGAGCCGGACTACCCTAGGAAAATGTTCATCTCTTTTGCGGTCAACTTGTCAGACGCCCTGCAGGGGCACTGCTCCATAGTGCTGCAAGTTCTTTCTCGTGTCCAGCCTTAGTCACTCCTGCTGTTGCGCCTGATTAATTTATCAGAGGACAAGCTGAGGGCCCCATTATCCCGCCACCCAGCCTGACATCACCAAACTTCCCTCAGGCATGTTCCCACTCCTGGGGCAGCCCAGCCGACACAGGAAATGGCTGCTGGATGAATGTGCCCGTGAGTGAGTGGCTCAGATCTTCCTCCCATGAGAAGGCTGGGAAGTGGCTAAGACAGGGAGGGAGGGGGACGCTCCTGGGGCCTGGGCTGAGACAGAGACAGAAACAGGAATCCAAAGGGAGGCAAAGAGGGGGTCAGGAGGAGAGACGGGACTGAGAGCACATGGACTAAACAGATCCGCCTCAGAGAGCCAGTGTCCTGGAGCTCAGGGGACACCGGCATCAAGGGCTTCAGCCAGAGATGGCCTGGGACAGCCAGAGCCCACGGCGGAAGAACACAGCAGAAACAGGGTGGAGTAACAGGAGCTCAGAGTGGGCCATGAGGTGGGAACCTGGGAGCCGGGGTAGAGACGGCGACCCAGAGTAAGCATGGCCCAGCCCAAAGTCACAGAGTGAGGACCCAGAGTCCCAGCCGCCCGGCCATGACCTGGTCCTCCATCCCCACCAGAGAGAAGCTGAAGGGAACCCGCAGCCAGGCATGGTGCTGAGGTGTGAACTTCCTCAGATGAGGACACGGAGGGTCAGCGAGGCCGCCTGGCCTGAGGTTGCACAGGAGGTCAAGCCCCCTCGTCCTCCATTCGAGGAGCTGGCTCAGGAGGCAATGTTGCTCCCACGCCCCAGCCTGTGCTTGGGCATGCTGGCACTGCCAGGCGCTCATTCGGCCTGTCGAGGGCCCAGCCCCCAGCCCGGCCCCTGCGGGCTTCCCCAGCCCCGGCCAAGGGCAGCAAGAGGGAACAAAGGCCCAGTCTCTGCCTGCGCAGGCCCCCACCCCCTTGCCTGCCCCTGGCACAGAAGGACCAGGGCCCAGAGGGAGCCCAAGTGCAAAAGCAGCACCCGCCCCTTCGCCGAGGCTGTGGGAAGCCCCCTTCCCCCTTCCACGGGCCTGCCGGCTGCACAGCGTTCTCCCATTCTAAAGATGGGCAAGCTGAGGGGGCGAGGAGCTGGTAGCCACACGTCTGGGATTAGAACCGAGGTCCCTCTGCTTGAAGGACCTGCCCTCTACCCCTCATCATTATGCCTGAAGGCATCACTGTGCTCCGGTTGAACGGAACTCCTGGGCAGAGATGGGGCAGGGACCAAAAAGTAGAGTCTGGACAGCCCAGCTAGGAGTCTTTGGAAAGGGGCCGGGTTGCCCTTACCCACCACAGCTACCTACTGGCGGCCAGCGCAGTGTGGTCACAGCGCAAGGGGTAAAGCTAGATGAAAGGCAGAGATGAGAAAACGGAGTCAGCACCTGGTCCCTGACTGGGGCTCACTCAATCCAGCCGGCGGCAAAGGAAACATAAACCCCTCCGGAGCCTCCGTTCCCCGCTCTGGAGCCCCGTTCCACCCGGGGGGGGGGGGGCTCCGCATGGTGGGTGGGCACTCACTTGCTCTGGAGAAGACAGGCATGGACCCCAGGGTCCCCCTGTAGGCCCAGAACAGGAAACAAGTAGAACATGCTCATTGTGCCCCAAACACAAAAAGCACTGGGTATCTGGGTGTCACTGGTTCCACTTTAGAGATGGAAACGGAGGCTTAGGGAGGCCGCCCAGCTCCTAAGGAGCAAAGCAGGGCTGACCCATCACCAGCCAGGTTTCACATCCCGCTAACTTCCCAGGGACTGTGGGGGTTGGCGAGGGTGGGAGTTGGGAGGATGAGGTGATAAGTGCACACCCCCTATTCCACCCACAAGAGCAGCAAGAGGAAAGGTCAGGGCCCCAGGGGCAAATCTGGCCAACGCCCGAGTGGACAGCCCTGAGCCATTCAGCGTGAGCAGGGGCTCAGCTGTGTGACCTTGGTCCACGAAACCTCTCCAAGCTTCCATCTCCTGCCAACCAACCAGCAAAAACCCCCAGAGAAAGTCCTGAGATCCCTGCCTGCAGTGCCCAAAGGCTGGGGAAATGCCACACCTCAGCTCCCTTCCCGCCAGGCCCCGCCTCTCCTCCTCCTGGCTTAGCTGCCTTCACACAGGACAGGTGCTGGGACGCCTCCCACCCCCAACTCCCCCCTGGCTGGCCCAGGCCCTTACTGGACACCACAACTTGTTTTAAAGAAAAAATAATATTTATTTGCAATATAAACAAAGTCCCGTTGCTGGTTCGGGATATATATATGTATGTGTGTGTGTATATATATGTAGGGTCACAAATTTTCCTTCATAAGATCATAAAGCAAAACTGGCCACCCTCTTGGCATACTCTCATTTACACAAGTCTGATGCATCTTTCTGGGTTTTTCTTTTTAAAAGTAAAAAAGAGAAAGAACCATGTACGGCATGGAAGCTTTTTGTCAATTTCTCGACTGTGGCAAGATTTTAATCTGCTGCCTTTAAGAATCCCTGAAAACCGCCCCGTGAGGTAAGACGCGGTGGGGCAGAGTTTCCATGGCCTCGCTCGCATGCCAAGTGCGGACTCGCTCAGGGGCCCCGGCCTGACCACTCACCTCTCCCTGGGCCCCTGTGCAGTCATGACACCTGGTGGGACTGAGGCTGGAGAAGGAACAAAACTGGAGGAGGGTAACGGAATCCGTGGCTTTGTTCTGTGGATCCTGGGAGGGGGGTGGACAGAGCCCCACACCCCTTTCTCTTGTCCATCCTCGCCCCTTCTGCCCCTGCCCTGGGATTGAGACGGGTGCGAGTGTCCTGGTAGTAGAAGGCATGGGCAAGATGAGCGCAGGGCCAGCTTCCACGGGACACGGGGTGGCAGCTGGACCGAAGCAACAGCCAGGGTGAGGGACAGAAACTAGGAGGCGGGGCTGGGCCTCCACCACCTAGGCTTCCCCCAGCCGCTGGGCCTCCACTCTCAGTCACAAACGAATGGCGGGGGGGGCGGAGAGAACGAGAGAGAGAGAGAGAGAGAGAGAGAGAGAGAGAGAGAGGGAGAGAGAGACACACAGAAGTAGTGGGTACTATAGAGCGGGCCCGGGCTCAGACCCTCCCACGGGCTGAGCCCAGAGGGCTAATGCTACTGCTTGACAGTCCCCTGCAGCCCCAGCTCCAGCCGGCCTGCCGCACGGCCTCCCATCTCCTGCCTCCGGGAGTCTGCAGGGGCTGCTGGAGGGCCGAGAATGCAGAGGCCACCCGGCAGCCCACCCATCACGACTTGCAGAGGTCGTCACGGGCGAGTGCAGTGCCATGGGGGCTGGGCCAAGAGACGTGGGCACGACTGGAGGGGGGGGGTCTGACACCAAGGGAGCAGCAAGCCACCCCTTCGAGAAGGGCCTACTGCTGCAGAAACGGGAGGCTTCACACATGTGCAAAACGCATTTGGTCAAGATCAACACGGGGTTTGTCTTTTCCATTAAAAACAAAAACCAAAAAACCAATAATTGCTTTTTGAAATAGGAAGAAAAATAAAACCGAGAACACTTCTCTTTCTCTCTCAGAGGATCAAGGAAGGGATGAAATACTGGTTTATACAATCCACTGTTGCATGTAGCCTGATAATAACACTTTTCATTAAAAAAGAAAAATCAAGAAGAGCTTGAACACTTGCCGTGCTCCAGGGAGCTTGGATTCACCTGCCAAAAGTAAAAAGTAAACTCAGGTCCGTGGATGTGTCTTTAAAAAACAGCCAAACTGGCTGGCCCATCTGCTGATGGAGTGTCCTGGGACAAGGATGAGAGCGTGCTGGCCTCCCGAGGCCATGTGTCCCAGAGCTCAGGGCCTCTCCAGAAAGTCCTGCAGAGGGAGGCCCTGCTGTGGGGTCCGCCCGCCCCGGGGCGGTGAGGGCAGCGAGGGCAGCTCGGCCGCCTGCCCACCTGGGGCCTCGAGGCACCGGCCACGTCCGAGGCTGTCTGGGTTCCGGCTGGACATAGCAGGAGTGGGCCGCCCACCTGGCCCGGGGCGGGGGGTGGGGGGGGGGGGGGGGGTCGGGAGGGGCCGGCCCCCGCCACCTGTGCCCCAGCCTCACGTGGACTCAAGGGTGTTGAGCGGGAACAGGTTGTGGTTGGCGGGCGTGGAGAAGTAGAGCTGCTCACTGGGGGCGTGGTTGTCACACGGGCTGCTCAGCCCCAGCGTCCGCTCGAAATCCAGCAGCTGCCCCATAAAGTTGAAGTTGGGCGAGATGTTGGACTTTTTCCTCTTGACGAAGTCGTAGGCGTCATTGAGCGACAGGTTCATCTTCTGCATCAGGTAGGCCACGGTGACCGTCACCGAGCGGCTGATCCCTGCCAGGCAGTGCACCAGGACACCACACTTCTTGGAGCGGGCCTCGTCTGAAACACACAGGCATGGGTCAGGAGGGCGCCTCCTCCACGGAGCTGGAGGTGGGGCTGGGGCACACAGGGCGGCAGGGTCACTGGCTGGTGCTGCCCGACTCCTGGGGGACCTGGTGAAGGCCCACACAGGTGGCATGGCCACTGGGGGTGGAGGGCAAGAGCCTGACTGTGGAGAGGGCTCTGCCACGTGTTAGCTTCAGGTCACGGGGCGTCCCTGTGCCTCGGTCTCCTCATCCATAAAATGGGCCCCCATGTTCACAGCACTCTTATAAGGACCTGAGCTAAGAGAGGCCTCTCCAAACCTTGGCACCAGTGATGGCTAACAGTCACTGCTCGGCCCGCTGCCGCGACAGCCGAATGCCCAGCCTGTGCTGAGGGTGTCACCCGTGTCCTCTCAGGCCATCTGCACCATGGTCAGCAAGTTCATTTTATAAATGAGGTCACAGGCGCAAAGACAGAGTGACAAGCCCAAGGCCACAGAGAGGCTCCTCCGAACTCCTAGCACACACCACTGTCAGCCCACCACCTGGCCGGGGGGACTGAGCTCGTTCTCCTGGTGCGGCTCCCGTGGGGACCCCCTGAGGGCCTCCTGGGAAACAGGCCTGAGGGGAGCCCTTAAAAGGAAATGGGGGGCCTGGCCCTACAGCCAGCTCTGCCCCGTCCCCCGCCCCTTAGCTTTACTCAACAGCCAGGGTCTGGGAGGAAGGCCACACCTGAGATTTCGCAAGGGAGGCTTGCTTAGGTGCCCCCCCCCGCCCCCGCTTACTAGACTTCCCCCGGCAGGCCCATGCACCAGTGACATCTCCCACCGCCGCCAACCAGGTTCTGCCAACCGTCCCACCTTCCCCCAGTGCCACTCTCAGGCTCCCTGGCCTGCACACAGTAGGAGCTCAATAAACATGGCTGAGCCACTGAACAATCGGCCCCGTAAGCGCTCCTCCCCTGGGTGCGGGGCCACCGCCTCTCTGTGCCACAGCTGTGCCCAGGACGGACGTTAACAAGAGGCAGCTCTCTGGGGCCCTCAAGGTGCCCACCTCTCTGTTTCTGAGCCCACTGGGAGCCAGGCACACAGCTGGCGCTCAATCAGTGTACTCCCACAAGATGACGCACAGGTTCACAAGTTGTTCCGTCTCCGGTGCTCATTCCCTCGGGCCTGGCAGAGCTTCCCTACTCACCCCCATGAGGGTGCCCAGGGCTAAGCATGGAGTAGGTACTTAATCCAGATCCAGGGACTGCCTGGAGGCCAGACTAGCAGGGGAAGAGAGAGTAGCCGCAGCTTGGTGCAGAGTCGTGCGGTCTGACCTTGAGACTTGGGGCTAACGGGGTGGTGGTGATGAGCCTCCGGTGGTGACACATCAGGGTATGGGGAACGCCTGGCCCCCAAACCCACTCCCGGGTGATCCAAAGTGAAACTGCTTCCGCTGGCTTTATTTTTAGCTTTCTCAGGGTGTGGCTGAGCGCGCAGGGGCCGGGGCTTGATCCTGTCCCACGGAGTCCTAGGGGATGCTTGGGCCTCTAATCCTTCCCTTGTCTCCCCCCAGCCCCTACACCCTGTTCTGTCCCCCTCCCCAGAGGCAGAGGGGCCTTCAAAAAGGATAAAGGCACCCATGAGCCAGACTCAGCCCCTGGGAGCCTGGGATCCCCCTCTCCACTCCCCTGTCTTGTTGGGGGGAGAGAGTGAATGCTCAGGCAGGACCCAGAGACCTCCTGGCCTTGTCCTCCGGGGCAGAGCTGGGAAGCTCCCGACAGCCCTGGTCACAGCCCCTCCCCCAGGCCTCAGCTTCCTTCCTTCCTCCCAGCCAGGCACCTAGTTTTGGTTCCCAGTAAGCGGATGAGGCGGGGAAGCCTCCCACTTCCTGTTATTAAAGCTAGCCCGGCCCAGCTGACACCAAAACGCCCTCCACTGGACACGGCCTGCCAGCAGGAGAGGACTGCCCAGGCCACCTCCTCTCTGCCACTGGAGGCTGGGCAGAAACACAGGGTCACCAGGCTCAGAGAGCCAAGGGTTTACATTCACCCTGATCTTGTACCCCTCCCCTGCACCCTGGGGTAAGAGCTGGGTCCAGGAAGATGACCTACAGTCTAACAGCTTCCAGCTGACCACAGAGGAAGCAGGATGGGGAGGTCAAAGATAAGGCAACTCGTGGAGCTTGAGTCAGCTGGGGATGTCGGGGGCTGAGGGCTCTAAGCCGAACAGCAGAACATACTGCTCTGGGGGAGGCCTCCTATACTCCAAGCAAGCCCCACAGGCTGCCAGGAGCATCTAGGGCCCTACCAAGTCACTCTGGCTCACCACATTCCAACAGCTGCCCATTCGGGGTCGGCCTTTGGCTCCAGGGCCACCTTCAGCCCCCTCAGGTACAAAATAAAGCCCAAAGAGGCACGGTGGCAGCCCCCTCCTGGAAAACATGTGTGCCGAGGCATGATGCAGAGCAAGCAAGACCTGTGGGAGGTAGGTCTAAGAGCTGTGATGTTTCAGCTTGCTGAGCCCAAAACAGCAGAGCCAGAAAAACACAAGCTGGACAGTAGAGTCCGTGGGGTGCCAACAGTTGGGGAGTCCAGGGCTCAGGGGACCGCTCGGGTCCTGAGGGCCTTGGTGACTCACAGCAGGCATGGGTTTGGCCACGGGCACATGCTGGTACACGCAGGGCACACACAGGCTTCGACAGGCCCAGAGGTACCCAGTCAGGCGCCAGTGACACCCAAGTCCCATACACGCCTCAACGCACCTGCCCACCCACCCCGCCCAGAGCACAGCAGCACCTACCAATGAAGCTGATGGCCTCGGGGAAGAACTGGGAGAGGTTCTGGCTCCAGTGGTCAGAGATGGGGATCTGCTTATAGGTGAACTCGCCACCGTGCTCAAAGGCGTTGGGCAGGTTAGGCGTGACATTGAGGATATACTTGATGCCGTACTTGCCGAGCACGTCCAGGTTAGTGGAGTCCTTGGCGCAGCCGAGGTAGAGGTAGGGCAGGATCTGGACGGGGAAGGCTGGTTGGCTGGATGGCACAGGGCTGCCGTCCGACTCAGTGGCACTGCTGGGCAGCTCTCGGTCTGACTCCCCATCTGAGCAGTCAGAGCTGATCCGCAGGCCCCCCAGGCCCAGCACTGAGGTGGGTGGTGAGCCACTTGGTGAGGACGAGCTGTCCACGTTGGTCTCGCAATGCTCTGAATACTCTGTCTGGAACTTGTTGAAACCACCTGTGGCCAGGGTAAGAGGGCCTGGGTGAGAGACTGACCATGCTACTGGCCAATGTCCCCAGACCAATGGGCTGCACAAGACCAGTGAGATAGCCGGCGCTGCCCACATCAAGCACTATAACACCAACAACAGCCAACGTGGGCCCTGCCGAGTACGTTACACGTGTACCTGCTCCTGTGTTCTCTACATCTCTCCCATGACCCACCTCACAGAATGGGAAACTGAGGCCCCGAGAGGTGAAGTAACATGCCTGAGCTCCATACCCTGACCCATAAGGCTTCAGGGCCCCAGCCACACCAGCAGCTTTTGGCACTTAAGGACAGGCCCCAGCTCACTTCTCTTCCACAGCCCCCATGCACACCTGGCACCCATGGGTGCTCAATAACTGCTAAGTGGTGGAGGAAAGCAGACAACCCCACCTCAGGCCAGTACCTGTGGGTGTGCGAACCCCTCTTACAGATGAGACTGCAGGGGCCAGAGCTGCGTCTAGGTGAGAGGCCCAGAGGGCCTGGGCCTCCTGACTGGGAGTCCAGTCCTTGCCCCCCACCCCCAACCACAGTCAGGGAGGGCAGTGAGAAAGTACTGGTTGGCTCTTTCCTCCCACAGTGGCAAGTTCATAAAAGGGGTCCCAACTCCACCTCTTCCCCTTAGAACTCAAGACCCCAGCCTAGGAAACACAGACGGGGAGGGCTGCTGGGGCTTTAGAGAGACAAGAAATGGGGAGCGCCCTGCAGCTAGGCATGGGCCCTGCGCCCGAGGGTGCCGCAGGCCTCCCCTCCCCTCCCTGCCCGCCCGCCGGCTGCCAGCGAGAGGCCATTTTGGAATGTTAATTGGAAACACCGGCTGCAACCACTCGCCCCCCAGCTGCCTCCCCCTTCCACAAGCTTTAGGTCAGTAGGCTGGGACTTGGGGGTCCCGGAAAGCCAGGGCAGGGGACACTGCTTATAGTCCTGCCCCAAGTGCCTCCAAGAGGCTGTGATCACTCAAGTAGTGAGGCCAAGGCTGAGATGCCCCGAGTCCCCCAACCCAAACGGTCCCTGTACCTTGGGGGCGGGGATAACGCTGCCAAAGCTCCTATATCCTGACCCTAGTCCCCCAGGGACACGCATTCTAGGCTGGAGCAGCTGGACCTGGGTGCCCTGTCGTCTTTGGGGTCCCAGGAGGCGGCCCCTTCCTCCTCTGAGGGGCTCAGCAGGAGCCTAGGCGCTGCCATGACCCCAACAAGAGGAAGAGAAAAAAAAAAAAAAGACAGCCCAGGCCGGGAAAAGTTTGTTCGGCCCACTCGAATCGTGCCGAGAACGGGGTGCAGAGGGGACCCCCGCGCCTGCCTAAACCCGCATCTCGGGGGCCGAGCTCCCGGTAAAGGCGGATGCGAGCCGGGGGCGACGTGGCGCCGGCCGGGCCCGCGGAGCGCACGGAGAGAAAGCAGCCTCCGGCGGGGGCGTCAGGGAGCCGCGGGCGAGCCGCAGTCCCGGACGGGGGTCTCAGTGCTGCCCTCACCTTGGAGGTAGTAGGCCTGGCAGCCGTCGTCGCGTAGCTTTTGCAGGAGCAGGCCAAGCACCGAGGCGGGAGCGCCGGGCTCGGGCTGCCACTCGGCCGTGGCCTCGTCGTAGAGCAGCACGGTGGCCGCCTTGCAGCGCGTGGCGAAGCGCTCCTTGTCGGCGTGGTTGGGGATGATGGAGCGGATGGGCAGGTTGCCCTTGCGCAGGCGGCGCAGCATGAGGCCCGGGATGGCCAGGTTGATGGCCGTCTCGATGTGCGACGACTCGAAGAGCTCGTGCGGCCGGCAGTCGAGCAGCAGCAGGGACGCGCCGCCGCGCGCCTCCAGCTCCTCCTGCAGCCACTCGGCGCTCTTGCAGGGCATGGCCCCCGCACCCGTCGCCGCTCCCGCGCCGGTGCTAGCGCCGGACACGGACCCCGCACCGGGCTCCGACCCCGCCCCGGTGTCCCCAGCAGCCGACGCCCCCGAGGCCGACATGTGCGCCCGCGCTGGGGGGCCGCGGAGCTGGTTTTTCATGGGGAGCGCGGGCGGCCCGGGGCAGGGGCCGGGCAGCCCTGCCCTGGGACGGCGCCCCGGCCGCGCGGGCCCCAGCCGCGTCTCCGGGCGCCCGCCTCCCGCCGAGCTGCGCGCCCGCCGTCCCGGCCTCCCGGCCTCCGTCCCGCCCGGCCCTCCGCGCGCGCCGCGGCCTGACAGCCCCAATTAAACAGCGGCTCCGGCGGCCGCGCGCCGAGGCGTCCTCCGGGGGGCGGGGCCGCGGGGGCCGGCGCCCGGGCTTAAAGGCGCCGCGCCTCCGCCGCCCCTCCCCACGGAGGACGAGAGCGCGCTCGCGGCCCCGTGCGCCCCGAGGCGTGCGCCCGCCCGGGCCCTCGCCCCACCTCAACCCGGACCTGGCTAAGACCCGCCTGGGGTGCCCAGCCAGGACCTTTCCCCTATGCCCGCGCTCCCAGCTCTACTGAGTCCTACCGTGAAGGGCTGCCCTAGGGGCGTCCAGCGCCTGGCATCGCCTCCCCACTTGCACTGTATAGCAGTGTCCCCAGGGATAGGGCGGTGGGTGGGGGCGGTCACGCTGAGCCAACATGCCCTCCTCCTGTCTGTCAACCCCGTTCATTCATTTTCTCAGAGAGTTCATTCAACAAATGGAAACTGAACGCCTACTACGTGCCAGGCACTGTGCTTAGGATAAGGTCACCGTTTCAGGCGACTGCCTAGTCCCTATGATGGCCACAAGGCTCCGAGACCTGAAGGGGGGTCCCACCCTAGCAGGCCTGATGGGGAATCAGCAAACAGGGGACTGGAGAAATAGGAGGACCCAGGGCCGCGCCACACTCCGCAGGCAGGAGTGGAGAAATCCTGGAAAGGACCAGCCCTAAGAAGAGAGAGCGAGCCCTTTAAGAAAGCTTTACAGGCGGGGAGGTGACAGGCTCCGAGTGAAGCGCCACGTGACTTTCTCTCGGGGGCGGGTGGGCGGGGAGCTCTCCTTTACCCTCAGCTCTCCCTCTCCAACCTCCTTCCCAATGCACCAACCAACTTTCGCGGTAGGCGGGAGAGCGTCGCGCAGATGGCCAATCGTGACTGAAGGAGACGGTTGGGGGAGGGAGGCGGGGGCTCGTCACCGGTTCCACCCAGCGCGGGGAAGTGGGCGGGGTCTCCGCGAGCGCCGTGTATCGGCTCGCAGGCGGGCGGGGCGGAGGAGGTGAATGGAGCTGCAGGTAGCGCTGGAACAAAGCGGCTCCACTCCAGCGGTGCGCGTGCGCACGGGCTGCCGCGCTTTCCTTACGGAGCTAGTGTCATCTGCCCTAGGAGGGAGCTAACCGCTGGGCCCTGCAGTCCGCCGCGTCCGTTCCCCGTGGGCGGAGTGCCTCTGCTTCCTTGGGGTTTCAATCTCCCACTCTGCCCGAGGCTGGGCGGCACACAGCCACCTTGCCTGGACAGAGCCCAGCAAGCCCATCACAGATCTATTCCAGCTATGAGAGTACTCCTCGGAGGTCAGGCCCTTGGCTGGCAGTCCGGGTGCTGGTTGTCAGGGACGGAGGCAGCACTCGAAAAGGAAGCCTGCGCAGACCACACTGGAGGGGACCTGCTGGCTGATGAATCATTCCTCAGCGGGCTTGTTGAGGGCTGGCTGGAGCTTTGGGGACAGCAGTGCCTGATGAGGAATTGGTCGCTGTTCTCACTGGTGGGAAATGGGAGCCTCCACTGTGTCCCCGCAGTCCCTGTCCCCGCCGTAGGAGAAAGCACCTTCCTGGACAGAGGAGGGAGGCCCTGCCACCCCTTCCATCAGTTCGTAGTGTCTCCCTTGTCTCCCCTTCAGGACTCCTCCAGGGGGTCCGTACAGGCTAGAGGAGAGACCTGTGAGGATGTGGGGAAATGGAGAAACTCCGCAGGAGGTGGGGGCATCCTCCGGCAGGGGTGTTAAGAAGGGACAGAGTTCAGATGAGTCCAGGAGGAAGGAGGCACATGAGGAGAAGGTGACAGTGGGAGCAAAGGAATGGAAGAGAATTAGCATGGCTGTAGGAGCTGCTGGCGGGGCCCTGGCCCCCATCACTCAGCTTGGAGGAGTGCCCCAAAGCCTTGGTTTTTGCATGGAAGCCCTGCCTCCAGTCTTGAACAGCTAGACACAAGGCATAAAATGGATCATAGCAGGGATGCCCCGGGTGCCTGTGCATGTGTGTGCACATGCGTGCCGGGGGGGGGGGGGAGACACAGAACACTCTGACTTACAGAGCGCAGCAGGAACTAGGCCTTGGTCAGACAGCAGGAGGCCAGGACCGCCTCTTCCCAGGACCTTGCCCTGTAACTCTGAGTCTCCCTCAAGAATGCTAGGAAAGATACCTGGAAGAGGGAGCCTGGTGCCCTGAGCAAGGTCTTGGGATCAAAGACATTCCTCCACTTCAGGAATGTGGCCTTTCCTGCCCTTCAGGGTTCAGGCCCTCCCCCACCTGCAGCCCCCAGGAAAGGTGCCCCACTTCCCCTCTGCCCCCTCACCAGGGTCTCCCTGAGGGGCAGGGTGGGGGACCCCAAAACAGGTCTGGGTCCCTGGGGGTAAGCTGGAGGTGGAGTATGTGTGGGCTCTCTGAGGGCTGTCCCCTTCTCCCACACACCTTCAGGCCTTTGCACTATGGCCTGGACATTTTTTGGCTTCACCCTTGCTGGCCTTCTAGAAGATCCCAGTTCAAGTGTCACCCTCAGGGAGGGCTCCTCTGATCCTCAGGCTAGAATTAGCCCCCTGGGACCCCTGCCCCCATCTTTGCTCTGGAATCTATCACTGTCACTGTTCAACACCCCCCCACCAGACTTTCTCCCTTTGGATACCTATTGGCATGTCTACTGCCCCTCAAGCCCTTTTGTCCTCCTGCCATCTGTCTCATCCCTTTTCCCCCAAGTGCTAGGCCTGAACCCATGGGGCGTGTTTGGAGCTACCTTCCCTGCCTGCACATATCCAGCCCCAGAATCAAGCAGTGAAGGGGTCTTACCAGGAGGGCAAGGCTTGGCTATGATAGTGGGATGTCTGATGTGAACTGAGCAGATGTGAACTGGTGTGCACACACCCTGTAACACCCCCCCCCCCCCCGCCATCCACATGGCTTGATGACCCAGGAACTATGTCACTAAGAATAATTTAAGCATCGGGGCGCCTGGGTGGCTCAGTTGGTTAAGGGTCTGCCTTCGGCTCTGATCATGATCCCAGGGCCCTGCTCAGCAGGGAGCCTGCTTCTCCCTTTCCCTCTGCCCCTCCCCTCTACTTGTGCATATGCTCGCTCTCTCTCTCTCTCTACCTATCTCGCTCTCTCTCTCAAATAAAATCTTTAAAAAAAGAGAATAATTTAAGCATCTTGGAAGCAGACTTTCCTTTTCCCACTGGTGTCCATGGATCTCTTAGAGATGGGCCAACATGTTTTGAACAGCACATGCCAGAGGGAGAGGCGGGGAGGAGGGTCTGTTCCTTGTCCTCCTATCCTAAGGAGGCTAACACAAATTCAGGGTGGGCTCCTGCTGCTTGCAGGAGGGCAGTTTGCAATGGTGATCAATTACACACCCCACCATGAGAGCTGAGCAGGGGCTGGGGAGAGTCCTGGGGACTCCAGCCCATCTGTGCCTGAGACCCAGACTGGGGGTCATTCTGTTGGTCCCAGAACCTTGGGACAGCTTCTTCTCCATCCCCTGGTGAGGTCCCTGCCCGGGGTTGCAATCAGAACAGGTCATGTCTGAACCAGGCCAGGAGTGAACCATGAAAGGCCTGGCAACTCTCCTGCCCTGGACAGAGCTCTGGCTGGCTGTGCACGCCTGAGCTTGTGCGTGTATACACACTCGTATAAGGACACATGCAATACAGGCCCAAGCACACATAGACCTACCCTGTATCCACATATGCTCACAGGCAGAATGTGTGTGTGCAGAAATACACAACACACGTGTGCACACACGCCCTCTGTTAGCTGCACACTAGCTAGTTAGCCTCCGTCTGTGTACACACAGACCCTGTATGTCTGGGCACTTGCCACTCTTGTTGGAGGAGTACCCACAGATAGGTAGCCCAGAGGGCTTGTTACGGTCTGGGAGAATCCACGTTCCCCTTCCCCAGCTCTCCAGTCACCTGGGCTCACTCTGTCTCTTCCGCTATTGCTGGGATCCCTGCGGTGCCAGGTTCAGAATGGAACCAAATTCTGCCCTTGCCTTCCTTCCAGCAGGGAGCCGCCAGGCCCTGGGTGATGGCAGTGCAACATGGGGAAGCTATTAGCCCGGGACGGCTCTCAGGTTGGGGAGCCACGTGCCTGTTCCTCCTCCTCCCTGCCCTGCCCAGGTGTGTGGGGCAGAGGGCTAGGAGGACAGAGCCCTGGGGAGCAGGTGGGAGAGGGTCACACCCAGGATAAGCAGAGAACAAGAACTGGCAGGATGGAATTCCCCAAGGCTGCCTGGAGAAGGCAAAGGAGAAGAAGTGAGGAGAGCCAGGCCGCTGTGGGGCCTCCCCACCATTCGTGCTCAAACGTTTCCTGCCCTGGGCCAGGGAGTGTGCAGGGAAGGGAACTGGGAATTGGGACCTCAGAGGGGAACGAGACCAGCGTAATTCCTCCCTCTCCCAGCTCCCCGCAGCGGCAGAGTGGGCCCTTAGCCAACCTCCCCGTGTGCAGCCCCCACAGCTCACTTGAGAGTGTGCCTCTCTCTGTTGCGTGCCCAGCCCCTGGGGGCCAGCCTGAGGACACAGACTAGAGGACAAAGCTATGCTACTCTGCCAGGCTTTGTCCCTGGCAGCCATTACTAGTCAATCACAGCACTTTCTCTTGCTGAGCCATCCTCTGGCCTCAAAACCCTTCTAGGCAGGCATGGCCAGCGGATCGATTGTGGTAGACAAGGGAGATAAAACCTATTTGCTAAAGCCTCAATTCATAGCCAGGCTAGCCATGGCCTCTCTGTCCCCAGCCCCACCTCACATCACCCTGACCTCGTCCCGCCCCTTACCCAGCACCTCTGCTTCCACACACTTCCTCATTCTGTGCCCCCACCCTCTGAGAGCATCTCCACCTTCTGAGGGGTCACGGCCCCAGGCAGTTTCCCCTGCCTGACGTCAGCAGAGTCTGCTCCTTCTCCTAATCCACCCAGTGTAGTCCCCG